ACCAGCTGAATAAATTTAGGGACAACCACTGAAATTTTCTTTGGGTTAGTGGCTTTCTTAGGCTCAATGCTTTTGATGTCTTAAGACTTTTCGTGCTGTAAGGAAAATATTACTGAGATTCTACTCAGTGAGAAACCGGGGAAGGAATGGTCATTATAGCGTTGAGCATGAGGCAAAGATCGAGGCGAAGAGCATCGACATGTCTGTCAAGGAAGATATGACCTCCTGGCCATTTATATTAGTGAGCATAGCCGCTTTTCCTCTCTTCATATTGTTGTTATCGATCTTCCAGAATTCGCGAGATCAAATTTCTTTCTTTTCAACCTTGACCTGGACAGCATGTGCATAGCTACACTTTACGCTTTGCAGAACTTTCTTGCAGTGAATGCTAACAGTTCTGAATGCACAAAGAGTCAAACTACACCGCTCCTTGCGACAGATATTGAAGTTTGTCATCTCGGGCAGCAATGGCTGCAGCGTATTCAGAGGTGAAACAGGGTTGACTGTTTGGTTTTTGCTGAAATTTTTGCGTTGTAAAACTCTCCATTCCAGAAAGAATCAATTCTGAATCGAGGGCAGCAGGTTTGGTGGTTGGTGGAAAATTCAGGCAAACTATGATGGATACGAATAACCTGATGTATATTTATGAGCGTTCTCAAATTAAAATAAAAACTGGAAAACTAATAATAATATTTTTGATTTTGTATATAAATAATTCTTACAAAATAAAATCCTTACATTTACCTTCACAAAGTCCCTCAGATGACGAAACATTTAGGTTTAGATAAGTTTTTCCCTTTGTCTTTATATATATATATACATATATATATATTGTATATTTAGGCAGTAATCCTTCCTTTATTTATGTTTCATTAAAAACAACAGACAAGGTACTACGGTTAAGCTTTTTATTTAATTTTTCTTGTGTTCTGACAAGAGCTTTCTTTTTTGGACAAAGGGTGCGTAAGAACTGTCCGAATGTTTTATATTTCCGAGCGAAACTCTTAACAATATAACATATTGGCCAACTCTTAACAATATTAATTACGAACAAAGCCACAATGTGCTAACCGTATTCGGAAATTAAAAACATCCCTACCACACACTAAGACATACACAGAACGCACACACTCAATTAAGCTGAAAATCGAATCATCCTTCATAATGGCTAAAGGTATAGCCGAAAGCGCTCGGAAATATAAAATATTTGGACAGTTCAAGAAAAATTAAATAAAAAACTTAACCGTAGTACCTTGTCTGTCGTTTTTAATGAAACATGCATATATATATATATATATATATATATATATATATATATATATATATATATATATATATATATATATATTTATATAATTGTCGTCTAAATTACAAAAAAAATGGAAATAACACTGATATCTCATGTTAACAGATATTTAACGAAATTACACAAAAAAGTTATCTCCACTTGGTCGCTGAAAAAAACAGCATTGAAAAAAGGTCACAACTTCATAAAAACAAGGTTTTATCGTCAAAAAGATTATGTTATTATTAAGAGGAAAATCCAAGGTTTTAAGCTTTAGTTATCGAAAATTTAGTGGAGGTCCCTAAACAAAAATATTTTTGAATATTAAAGAATAAATTTATTCAGTAGAATCGCAAATGGCTTCAACCACAGCCTCCAGGCGACTTGGAATCACCTGCAACTCTTCTGGATGGTTTCCTTGTTTATGTTGGTGAATGACACAATAATCCTTGCCTTCAGTTCGTCTTTTGGCTTATAAGGAGTTTTTTGGTCTCTTTCTCATCTGTACCCCACACATAATAATGTACATGTTTGAAGTCTGGGGAGTTAGGTGGTCAGATATACGAGTGATGTGGTCGCAGAAATTATCTGACAGCCATGATTGGGTTTTCCCGCTTGTGTGGCATATTACAGAATCCCGTTGCCAGGCATTGTGTCTTCCAGCAGCCAACCTCTTGACCCAGGGCAGCACTTGATGTAGGTCTGCATGTTGAGTTTGAAGACTAGTGGGAAAATGAATGAAGGCATAATGGCGCCATCACTAGTGATCACAACAAACGCCTTCATAATCACCATTAGACTCATTCAACTCTTTCTGAATCATCTGAACTGTCCTCCGATTGACACCTAACACTGAAATGTTCGTACTGAAGCTTCCAGTGCGAATGGCCAAACAGTATAGCATGCCGTTTTCAAATTTTTGGCGAAGTGAATTGCGTTATGACTCTACTATAGTGCGAAGTCGCTAAAATACAAAACAATCAATACGCATGCGCAAAATTAAAATATAATATGGCAACAATTTACTCATTGCATCTTATTCATACACACACACGCGCGCACAACACACACACACACACACACACACACACATATATATATATATATATATATATATATATATATATATATATATATATCAGGACAATGTTAGTCAATTTATAAACGGAGTCTTTCAATTCCCTAATATATATATAATACAAAAACTGTAATCTTATATATATGTATGTCTGTTCCAGAGATACAGTTTAAACAATATATAATACACCAACCAATTCATGAACATATTTTATCTTGAACCTACCGAGATTAATGCCAAATTTCTTTAAAATTTGACCAGTTAGGGTCTTGAGCAAAATGTCTTCTTATGTCTTTTTAATGTCTTCACGGCATTTTTAATAGGAAATTCAGTATTTATTTTCGATATACATTTTTAGTACGCTTATATAAGTAAACCCTTGCATATTCCGATTATGTGTGTGAAAAATAATAGATATTCATAATAAATAAGTGCAACATTATTAAATAAATTTAAATTTACATGACACATCATATATTATACAACCCGTTACATTAAATTAGAACGTTTTTTATAAACAAATATCGCACATGTCTGGCAACTACTTGATAGGCGAAGATTCTATATCCACGTGTTATTTTAGAATTTAATCTGTATGGAAAACTGTGTTACGTGACTTCATAGTAATTAAATAAATAGAAACATGCTGCTTTGTTACATTTGGCTATTTTGAATTAAATGTGAGAAATAAACAACTATATATAATAAAAATATAATTATTATTTTCAAAGAATTACCTAATACACACAAACATATATATATATATACATATACATATACATATATACATATATATATATATATATATATATATATATATATATATATATATATAGAAACATGTTTCACTTTTTAGTAGAACTTCATCAGAGAATGAGACATGAAGTAAAGA